CCGGGGGCGTCCAAGCCGGCTGCCGAGCAAGCCCCGGCGCTCCCCAGCGGCGGCGGGGACGGGGAGCTGCCCTGGACCCGGGCCGGGCCGGAGACCACCCTGCGGGCAGGGGGCAGCGGGGGCGGCGGCGGGGCGGGCGCAGCCGAGCCCCCGAGCGCACATGGGCGCCCCAGATGTGGCCGCGGCGCCGCAGCTGGAGCAGGAGCGGCCGCCAGAGGAGCGCGGGGAGGAGGAGGAGGAAGAGAAGGAGGAGGAGGAGGAGGAGGAGGGCTTCAGTGGCGGCCCGGAGTTACCTCCACGCCGGGCTCCCCCGCCCTGAGCCACTCACCCGACGAGCCACCTCCCCTCCTCCCTGCGCTCCTTCGGGCCGAGGGCCGCGCCGCCGAGTGCTAGGGTGAGCCGGCTCCAGATGGGGGCCCCGGGCACACGGGGATTGTCACTGTTTGTAGGTGACCTAGACGGCCCTCCGGGGTCCGCGTCCGCCTGCCAAGCTGTGCCAAGTGCGCGCCACCGCTGCCGAGGTCGCTGTGGCGGGCGAGGGCACAGCCCTTGGGCGCACTGAAGTTCGGGACCGTGGGTGGGTGGGGGTATCTGGGCGAGTTTAGAAACCTTTATTGACAAAGTGGAGTTGGAGTTGTGGTGATGGAGAACGGAGAGGGCGCGGGGCAAGCCAGGTGTCTGCCTGCGACTGTGCGCCCTCGCCTGAAGCTGGCGTGCGTGTGTAGGAGGGGGAAGAGAAAGGGTCGTTCCAGAAGGGTCTTGACACTTGCTCCTGGACGGTGGGCTGCCCGCCTCCTGAGCACAGCCGCTCACACACCCGCGCCGCCCTGTGGAGCCTGGGAAGGGAGGTGAGTCCGATTTGCTGGGCGTGGGTCTGATCCAGCGTGCAGGTGTCGCCGCGGGAAGCTGCCGGGCCCGGTGCCCGAGGCTCAGGCGCGCATAACGCAGGTGGGGCACTGGGGGTCAATCTCAGCTCTAGTAGACGTGGGTCGGTGAGCTCATCCCGGAGGCGCCGCTCCGGGAGGGGACCTGCGGGCTGCAGTCGCACAGCCGCCGCTCTTGGGCCACCGCCTCATGACCGCGCTGCAGCCTCGGGCTCCCGCGCGCCGCTCATGCCTTGCAGGGGGCAGCTGGCGAGTGGAAGGGCTCGGGTCGAGCAGAGGGCGCGGGGTCCTTGCCTCCGATGCAGGAGCGAACTGGCTCCGAAGGTGGGCTCAGTTCCCCGCAGTAGCACCGCGCTTGTTTCCCTCCCTCTGGATCTTGTGGCTCCCGCCTTCCCGAAAGGGCTTGGAGTGGCGGGCACTCTGTGCGGCTGAGGCCTTTTATACTGCCCTTCCCCCGCCTCCCACCGGGCTCCCTCTTTCCCTCCTCCCCAGTGCCCGCCCAGCCCTTCCCTCTCCGCGTGCGGAGCCCTCAGTCAGGCGTTCGCACTCATCCATTTCGCAAATTTCCAATGCCATCTCGCACCCAGTGCCCCAGGGAATCGGCTCTCCCGATTCTCCCTTGGTGACTGATATTAAATAAACAAACCTTTCTCGCCGGCACGCCCCTCTCCCCCTGCCCTGTTACTGCCCTTATCTTCCTGGTCCTACAAACTGAGAAAAGATTCTTAAATCAACTACCTTCCGACTTCACAACTTTATGCAAGGCACTTTAGCTTAGTCATACCCAAATTAAGACAAGAAGCACTTTCATCATTCGAAAGTTCCACAGGTCACCGTGGCATTTTGCAGAATTTATATAGCAGTGGTTAAGGTAGGGGGTGCTGGTTGGGCGTATTTGTGTCCGGGAAAGGAAGGGTTAGTTGCCACTTTGAAGATGCCTTAAGCATCTTTAAAATTCTAACCAGCCCTAACATCCTATTAATAAATTGGCAGCTTATTAATTCAGCACGCGATATCTTTACCCTTTCCGTATTTTGGGGGGGAGGAGGGTAGGGGAAAAGTTTGGAGGGAGTGCTTGCTTTCGATTTTTAGGCAGCTGGTCCTGTCTGGCATCTTATTGCAATCCCCAAGCTCTAAAATGCTAATAATTGTCAACCGGAGCACTTGGGGAGAATTTGAAACAATAGACCGTCCGTGGTTCAGATGGGAGATCAAAGAGGGGATCTCAGCAGCTTTCAGATCCCACAAGGATCCTCCTGTGTGTTTTCTAATTAGAATCACTTAGAAAGGGGTGGAAGGGCGAGAGAGTCAGCACGGGGATGGAATACGTAAGTTAAGATGGCAAAATAGAATTCCGTAGCCAGACAGACTTTCAGGCTGGCTCTAACCCCCACTTGTGCCAGATTCTGATGTGGGCGCACAGGGACAAATGACTTTCCTATTGCCTGAGGCAGGCTGTTCTAAATTAGAATCCAGGCGCTGCTGTGTCCTGCGTTTTCATCACACACAGTCTCCACATGTGAGCCTCAACTGCCTCTCCTCTCATCTAAAATTAACATTTTTGGATCCTAAGGAAAAATAACTTTTAAAAAACTCTGGAAAGAAATCCTTTGCAGTGAGTGTAAATTCTTGTAAATTTGTAAAGGGAGAGTTGAAGATCAAAGTCTTTGTAAGATGTTGTAAAAATTGTAAATTGAATTTTGGGGACAGAAGTCTTTATAAAATGTTGAACAAATGTATGAATGAATCCTATTAAAATCCTTTCACGCTGTGAGATCCAAATTCCAGGTGAGTTTATGTTCTGGTAAGCACACATAACTAGTATCGATAAATGTCTGTGCTCTGTGACTAAATTGTCAAACAAGGCTGCCAGCAGTGCTCTGCTTTTGAGGGGTTAGGAAACATGGGCTTACCATTTTTATGGGGAAAGAATTATAAGTTTAATAGCCTGAACAAATTAAGTTTCAAGCGCATTGATGAAATCTTACCAATAGCTGATGAAGGTTTTAAAAATCCTACCTCCTTCTTCGGAATTCCTACGGCACCTTCCTGATATCTTTATTATTGACCTTACTATGGCCTAGCAAAATGTCTGTTTTCACGTCTGTCCGTCTCCCCACCAGACCTGGATCATCTTTGTGGTAGAACATTCTAGAACATATCTCCCACCCATAATCCCCACCTTCTACCCTTTCAGTATCCAGTTTTCTTCATCCTAGGTTCACAGCTAGAGAAACATTTTCCAGCAACACTTGGGTCTAGGTGAGACTGTGCGAGCTCTGGCCATAAAGCACCCTGAGTGATCATCTACACATTCTCTCTTTCCTTTTTACATGGCAAAAGATTCTGGGGTGGAAGGAGCCCTATTCTCTGAGTTACTTACTCAAGAGAGAGCTATTGGACCAGGAATATTTTCATTTAACCTTGCACAGTGAGAACTAAAACTTGGTTGTTCAAAGTCACTGTGATTTTGGGATGTTTGCTATGGCAGCTGGTATTACTCCACCTGACAAGTAGTACATTCTTCAAGACAGGGACACCTGCCTCATCATTATTGTTTCTAGAGCTCAGCGCAATGCCTTGCATCCAGTAGTTGTTGTCAGTGTTTGTTTAATGAATGTAACAAATCTGGTCTTTATTTAGATAGACACACTTAATAAATTATCTCTCTTGAGAGTGTTGCTACTATAAGTGGCTGAACTTTGAATACTGTTAATTCTCCTATCTTTTGTTTGTACTATTCTCTCATAGATTTTGTCTTTTATTTTTGATCCATTTATTTTTCTGACAAGCTTATTTGACTGGGATATTTGGAGAAAGTGAGAGAAATTAACAACAAGCTAGAACACCTGGAGTAAATATCATTAACGAGAACCTTGTGTCTATTATGGTCAGGATTCTATTGTTTTTTACTTTATTATTATTATTATTATTATTTATTACTAAAAACTGTTGCAGGGCAACAAAGAGCAGTTTTAGTGTAATCTTAAAAAAATTTTTTTCTTAAGGAAATTGAAAAATATATACAAAAGTCAAGAGAATACTATAATGAATCCTCACATACCCATAACCCAGCTTCAACCCAAACTCAAGACCAATCTTGTCTCATCTATATTCTTATACACTTCCCTCTCAGATTATTTTGAAGCAAATCCATGACATCGTGTCTTTTCATTTATAGTATATTTCAGTATGTATCTCAAAAAGGTGAGGGTGAACTTACCCCAGTTCAATTAAAAATTTTTTGAACACATTAAAAAACAAACATATGCGTATTGTATGTGAGCTTTAAAACATATTCAAGAACTCAAAACTAGAGATTTTTTGTTCTGGGTGTAAAAATAATTAGCATTTAGCGATTATGGTAGAGGCTGTTACATGTTCACCAAAACCTGTTTCCTCTTCTTTCTGGGCATTCCAGTAAACTACATTTCCCAGTATCCTATGCATTTAGATACAGACATGTGTCTGAGTTCTGGCCAATAGAATTGGGTGGAATTGATGTGTGCCACTTCCATATCTGGCCCATAAAAATCTCCTGTGCATGGTCTCTCTCTTTTCCCTTGTCTGTTGGTTGGATGTTTCTGCCCAGGGTGAACTTAGAGCAATGATCAGCCTGGATCTCTGAAGCAGAGCCCTTATACCAACCCTACCTCTGCCCAAAAACCCCTGACTAGGGTATTGCGTGACTGAGAAATAAACTTTTAAAAACATGTGTTAAGCCACCAAAATTTTGGGGTTTGTTACAGGAGCTTACATTACTCTCACTAATATAAGGGGTAATGTTCTGAGAGGGAGAGGTGGCAAATATTTTTTTTAGAGGCTCTGATAGCAAATCTCTTTGTCTTTGTGGGCTATGAGGTCACTGCCACATCTACTCAATCATGCTGTTGCAGTGGGAAAGCAGTCAAAGAAAATATATGAACAAATGGGTGTAGCTGTGTTAATAACACTTCGTGTATACAAACAGGCAGCTGAACCTCATGACTTAATTTGCCAATCTCTATTATAACAGACTGACACAGACACCACTTTATCTTAGGTGCCATAAGTGAAGGAATTATAGCAAAGAGAGGTTGGATGGGTTCCACTTACTAGCCATGTAACTAACCTCTTGGGCCAGAAGTTTAACTCTTAGAGTCTCAGTTTCTTCATCTGTAGCTTGGGGCTAAGAATGCCTTCTCTAGGGCTATTGTGAAGTTCAAATATTACTACTGCAGCAGGACAAGGAGAGTAGTTCCAGTTCTCTTTAATAGATGAAGGACTCCATATTGTGTCTGTGAGGACAGGGTGCTTGTCTGTCTCATTAACTTCTGAATTCACATAATAGATGCTCCATAAATATTTGTTCAAAGAATGCAACTTTCATTGGGTTGTTGGAAAAGTCATGATGTATTTTTTCTCCATTTTTCATTGCAAAAATGCATCATGACTTTTCCAACAACCCAATAGAAAACTGCTGAAAATTGTAGCTGAAGGGAGCTTTAGAGGAAACACAAACAAACAAAAAATCCGAAGTGTTGTTTCATTAGAGTTCTTTGAACTATGAAGGGCTCACAGTGCCCAGAAGTGAGAAAATCCTCACCCTCAGAGGCTCAGAGGTGCTCCCAGGGGTTCCGACCCCTGAAGCAACACTAGGCTTGTGGGACACCTGGACCATCCACTTCCTGATGCTCCAACACATGCCCAAGACATGCGAGGGCAGAGGGGATCTTGTGGGATGCTTGTGGCTTTCCACTTTGCCCTAAAAGCCCCTAAATGTATAAAGAACCCAAGAGACCACTGAATGGGTGACCTTTTGAGAAGGTCAAGAAACTTCATTCCAAAGGGAGGCTGTCCTTCTCAGGCACTGGCTGGAGTAGCCGGGAAATAGGATTGGCTTTTTGAAAGAGTTCATCGGGCTGCTTCTGCATGTGGCAGGGTCCTTTACTGCATTTCTAGCATGCTATTAAAACCTGATGTCTTGCTAGTCCACTGACCTCTTCTGCAAATAACTGGCCCTTGTAGAACTTATCTGTTTCACAAGAGACCTCTTTATTGCTTTTGCTTTGCCGTACTCATTTTTGCACAAACTCTGGAAAGCAAAATAAAATCTCAGAGACATGTTATAGCAGGGAGAGAAAAGTGCTTCGTAATTCCAAGGTTATATGTTATACATCATGTAAGTTTTTTTGTTTAGTTTTGTTTTGTTTTTAACTCTGACAAATAATTTCTAGGCAGGGAGAGTGTAAACTGTTCACTCAAATTGAATCTGAGTCCAGATGTTGGAAGGGGACCATGGAGTTCATCTAGCTTCCTTTTACAGATGAGGAAACTGAGGCCCGGAAAATTAAATGGGCATTTTCAATATCACAGAGGGTCTTCGTGGAAGCCTCAGATTACCCAGCTCCAACAGCAAGGCTCTTTCTATTTTCAAAGTAAACTTTAAAAATTAAAGTATGACATGCATGTAGGAAAGAGTACACATCCTAGGATTTTAGCTCAATGGAATTTTTACTACTCAGATCAAGAAATAGTATGTTACCAGCACCGCAGAAGCCAGTTATCCAAATGTTACCAATATTCTGACTTCTATCACCACACATTTGATTTAACTTTAGAAAACTTAATATAATTTGAATTTTATAGAATATCCTCTTTTATATCTTCTTGTGCTATCTTCTAGCCTTCTCCCCAACTTTTCATTTTGAAAATTTTCTAACCTATAGAAAAGTGGCAAGTACAATATGACTGAATGAACACTCATACACCTTTTGTGGTAGATTGTATAAATAGGCACAGTTTTCCTTCATTTTATCAAGGCCCTTTACAGTATGACTTTGCAGCTTCCTCCACTACCATGCGGAGGCATCCACCCTTTATCTCTGTGCTGGTCTTGTGTTTGGCTTTGACTAACAAAATGCAGCACAAGTGATATGCCAGTTCTGTGCTCAGGCCTCAAGGAGATTTGCATGCTTCCTCTCTTTCTGTGTCTGTCTTGGAACTTGGCCATTGCAAAGTGAATGAGCCAGGGCTAGCCTGCTGGAGGAACAGAGACAGGGTTCTAGTAACTGCGGCTGAAAACCACCGCGTCCCCAGAGGCATACCCTCCCAGCTTACCTGCCGATTAAAGACACATAAGGAAACCCAGCTGAGGTCTCACAGGAACCTCTCAGGTGAGCCCAGCCAAAGCAGCATGATGAGCTAAATGAATGATTACTATTGTGTGGGGGTTTGTCATACAGTAAATGCTGCTCAACACAACCCTTTACCCTGAATACTTCACCATGTATCTCCTAACAATAAAGAAATTCTCCTACCTCATCATAATATAATTATCATGTTACAGACATTGAACATAGATACAATAATATTGTATAGTTTACAATCCATATTCAAAATTTTCTTATTGTCTGTCCCTACAATATCCTTTGTAACTACTTTTTTTCTATCCAGGATTCAGGTGAGAATTACTTATTGCATTTTTGTTAAAAATTGAGATGTCATTGACAATACATTAGTTTTAGGTGTACAACATGATTCAGTATTTACATGTATATTGTGAAATAATCACCACAATAAGTCTAGCTAACACCCACTACCATATAATAGTTACACATTTTTTTCTTGTGATGAGAACTTTTAAGATTTACTTTCTTAAGAACTTCCAAGTATACAACAGAGTATTACTAAATATAGTTACCATACTGTACATTATATCCCCATGACTTATTTATTTTATAACTGAAAGTGTGTACCTTTTGACTACCTTACTTACTGCATTTATTTGTCATTGTCCTGCCTCTTTATGTCTGTCTTGAACAGCCCCCATTTCCTCCCCACCTTTTTCTTTTGGTCGTTCATGTCATTAACATTTTTTAAAAGTCTAGGCCAGTTGCTTTTGCAGAATGACTTTCAGTTTATACTTGTATGATTATTTCTTCAGGACTAATTTCAGATTGTGCACTTTGGGCAGGACACTACTTGGATAATATTGTGTTCTCAGTGCATCACATCACAGGGTCCACAATGCCAATTTCCCCAGTTGTTGGGGACTTCCAAGATGCAGAAATCTTGAGTCATTTTTATGAGGTTAAGTGGGAAGAATTCTGGATGGAGAATATGTTGATGTGTTACAGTTTTTATATGTGGAAAGAGGAAACACAAGTTCATCTAATTCCTGGGAATCCACTCCACTTTGTTCTAAGTTGTTTGTCAACTTTGTCCAGCCCCCTCAGGTCAGTGGGCTATGACTATATTAGAGGGGGTGACTTTTCTCTCTGAATCAGGTATTTTTTGTTTGCTCTCATACAAAGTCATTATCAATTCATTTTTAAACCTTTTTTTTTTTGGTCTTTTTGTTAGCAAGCCACACTTGGTGTAAGAAAAAGAAGAAATAAATTTGCTATTAATCACAATTACCATCAGTGATTTAAAAATAATAAAAACCTTAGCTTTATGATGCACCTTTTTTAAATGCAAGGAATCTAAATATACCTTGGGAAGTTAAAGAGCTCAGTCAAATGAAGAAAAAATCAACAGGTTGCAAATGTTAACTTTTTTTTCTGCAACTAAAGAGTAGTTGAAAGAATCTTTTCAACAGCTCCAGGTGAAGTTATAGCTGAAAGAAAGCTAAAACTAGTAAATTTGCATGCAAGTGAATTTAATGACAGCAGTTCCTCAGCAGAGAAAGATTAAACTGACAACTTTAAGATGCCACATCAGAAATGTCTCCACTCAAAATAGTTTTGTGACTGACTGGTTCTCACATCTTTACTAATAAACACAAGATCTCATCACCAGTGCTGGCAGGATTTCACAATGATTAGGGGTGGAGTGCCTCATTTGTGAGCCAGATGTGTCTCAACTGAAATCGGAAGATTCTCACTTGATAAACTCTAAATAGGATGATGAAAGTTACATGAGAAACAGCCTGGTGGAAGAATAAGCATGAAAGAGCTAGTTACACATTTTTGGAGCTCAAATTTGGGGTGGTTGTTATTTTACAAAGGTCAGAATTTTCTTTTATTTACCTGGTGTCTAACTTAGTTCTGAAATTGTAGTTCAGTTTTAGCCATAAGTGACAAACAAAAAGTCAAGTTTTGGAATAAAGATTTTATTTGTTGGTGATATGAATGCCAAATAATACTTTAATGGGATGTTTTGGTTAATGACAAAGATTGAGGGATAAACTGTTCTCACACTTTTTTTTTGTTTTTGGTGTGTATATGAGTAAACAACATGTGAAGGTGATATGAGACATAGCAATATTGAAAAATTGTAATGTATGTATTAGTCAGGCACAGTAATGTTGGCTGCCATAACATAATCCTCTAAAGTTCAATAGCTTAACACAATAAAAATTTATTTCTTGCTATGCCACACAATATTTTGAATACTTTATTACACAAAAGGCAGTCTTTCCTTAATTAAGAGGCCCAGAGTCCTTTTATTTAGTAGCTATACATATCCTAAAACCTTCATCCAGCAGACAAGAGTAGAGAGAAGAGTATATGGAGGCTTGCTCAGGAAGCTTTAAGGCCTGACCACATCTCATTGGCCACAACTTAGTTACAAGAATGACTGGGAAATATAGAATTTCTGTATGCTTAGGAGGAAAATAAGATGGGCATATTGAATGCATGGTTCTTTTTTCCACATTGAATTACCTCTGCAAAAACACCATTCGTTTTCACCAGTATGTGAACAAAAGCATGTAACGTCACAGATGGACTAGAGCAGGGACCAACAAATGTTTTCTGTAAAGGGCAGGATAGTAAACGTTTTCAGCTTTGTGGGACAAGAAGAGAAATTAAGAACATCATGTATGTACTTTTATAACCATTTAAAATATAAGTGTTTTAAATGTAAAAACCACTCTTAGCTCAGGGACCATATAAGAAGACACAGTGCCGGATAAGGCCTGGGGGGCCATAGTTGGCTGACCCTTGGACAAGAGAAACTCTAAAGGTAAAAATTTGGCAATGCAGGATTTTATGTTTCTCAGATTCTTTCCTAAGCTGGTTTTGACTTTGGTTGAGATTTTTCAAATGACCATTTGTGAGTATATAGAGTTAATTGAGCTTATGCAGAATAAAACAATACTTACATTCTTAGGATATAGCATTTAAAATAAAAATATACATTATAAACTGAATAATAAATAGAAAATAGGTTATATTTCAAAATATAGTAAACCTATGTCATTATAAAAGGGTTCATTTCTGCAACATAATGCACAGTTATATCAGGCTAATATTTTCTAGGCACTTTATTTGTAACAATGTTATTTAATGAGATTCATCTTGTACTTTGGTTATCTCAATTAAACACTCAGATGTTGCCTTTCTCCTTGCTCTTCCTTCTGTCTTTGTTTTAGAATATTTACTTTTCCAGGTTATTGTACAACTGGGCAATAATATTAAGCAGGGACTGGAATCATGGAATAGTCCAGGCAGAGCCACATAGGAAGATGTCTGTTTGGCCTGACCATACCAATTCTGACTCATGGTATGGTGAGGGATAAGACTTTAGATACCATTTAGATTAAGTATATATAATAAATAAAAGGGAGCATTTCAAAAATGTGATTTATAATATAAGATTTCATTAATGAATAGAAGATTCCTGTTGTGGCTTTTGGGTTTTTTATTAATAATTTTTTTATTATAAAAGTAGTATGTTTTCACTGTTGAAAATATGGAAAATAATAAAAAAGAAAATTGAAATCATGCATGCATTTATCACCTAAAGGTGATTGCTCTTAGCCTTCTGGTATAGTTCTTTCTTATTTATATACATACATACACACAACACACACACACACACACACACACACACACAAATATGCATAGCCCACCTATTTAGAAGTTTTTACATAGTTTGGGGACATAATTAGAACCATATTGTATATGGTGATTAAAAACCTTCTAAAAGAAAACTTTTAATGGCTGCAGCATATGATCTTGTATGAATATACCGTAATTTACTTAGCCTGACCTCTATTTTTGGACATTTATGGTGTACTAAATTTCTTTAATTAAAATAGCATTAAGAGAGGTATACCCAACAAAATGAATGCTTATATCAACAAAAAGACACGTGCGAGAATATTCATACCAGCTTTATTCCGAATAGCCCACAGCTGGAAACAATCCAAATGTGTATAAATTCTAGAATGGATAAACAAATTTTGATATGTCCATACAATGGAATACTAATCATCAAAGGAAAAGAACTAATGGCTGGCTGCTGCATGTAACAATATGGATAATTCTCACAGATATAATGTTTAATATGAAAATAGATACAAAAGAATACATTCTGTACCATTCTATTTATATGAAGAAGCATAACTAATCTAAAGTGATGAGAGATCAGAACAGTGCCTTGGGAGGGGTGTAGGCCCAAGGAAACCTTCAGAGTACTAGAAGTGTTCTATATTTTGATCTGGGTATTGGTACATATATGTGTGAAAACCAAGTAAGCCATACACTTCATGCAAGACTTGTGCACTTTCCATAAGTTGTACCTCAATAAAAAATATAAGGATAAAAATGCCCTGTGATACATCTCTGAAGATAGGTTTTTACTACAATTCTTATAAATTCCTTAATATAATCTCATACGTTCTAAGAAATGCTGTTTTGAACTACATAGCATGCTTTTTTCTGAAAGTCTGTGATCTCTTTTTCTGTTATTTCATAAGATAAAGGGTAGAAGTTTTCAGATCATGCTAGTAGTGTTTAGACTTGTCAAAAGATAGATCAATTGGGGAATCAGGACTAGAACAGTTATACTTTTCTTTGGATTTTGTATAAGTTCCAATTTAATCCAGCATTGAATATGTGAAACTGGAATTCAAAAGTCAATGTAATTAAAGATGTTCCATGAGGGATTCATAATAGGATTGTTTAATCTCATAAAATTTTCTAGTACAATTCAATTATGGTGCAATTAATGAACAATTGCTTTATGTTTGCAAGAATGTTGCTGTAATAGTTTATGGAGTAAGATAAATATGCACCCCATAGTACATTAACTTTATATGTAAATACACTATATATTGGTCAGGTTTTTGCTATGATAATGCTTTAACGAAAACACTAAAATTTCTGTGGATTACAATAACAAACATTTTCATTCACACTCACAAATCTGCAGATCAGCTGTGGTTTGACTAATCTTGGCCGGTCCAGGATGGTCTACGGGTTTCAGATCAGTTTCAAGTCTTTTCCCCATGTCTGCATTACAGGACCAAAGCTAAAGGAGCAACTACGTGGACTTCATGCTGGAGAGTGGAAGCTCCAAGGGGCCTGACCAGCCAACAGGCACATTTAAAACTTCAGCTCACGTCACATCCACTTATAGTCCATTGGCCAAAGCACCATAGTCAAGCCCAACATCAGTGCATTGGACATGGGGAAGACTGGGTGAGTACATTCCACTTGTAACAGTAATTACTGCTGCATAACAAACAACCCTAAAACTCAGTTTCTTAAAACAAAATAAATTTATTATTTCTCACCAAGTTTACGAGATGGTTTGGGTGGCTTTGCTAACCTGGGCTGGTCTTACTCCTGCATCTGTGGACAGGTGGCAGGTAGGCTGGGGGCGAGCTCATCCAGGGCCACCTCAGCTGAGACAACACAGCTCTGTTCCATGTGGTATCTCATTCCCCAGTAGGCTACCTTGGACTTGTTCACATAATGGTGACAGGGTCCAAAAGAGAATGGAATCTTGCAAGGCTCTTGAGGTTAGGCTTAGATGTGTACAGTGTCACTTCTGCTGTATTCTGTTGCTTAAAGTACCACAAGACTGGTCCAGATTCAAAGTGTGAGCAAATGGACTCCACCACCTGATGGGAAGACTTGCAGAGGCACCTTGCAGAGGGTATAGATAAAGGGAAGAGCAGAGAATTATGGTTGGCTTTATAATCTACCATATTGACTACATTGAAGTTTTTAAGGGGGAAGATAGAAGGCACATCTGGATTTTAAAAAGCAGAAACAATATTTGAACTTCATTATTCAGTTTCAACTTAGCTTTCCTCTCACAGAGATACAACATAAGGAAAAAAACTATACTGGGTTGCTTATCTTATCTTAGGATCCTACTGTGTGCTGCCCCAAACCACTAAGTCATCACCAGGTTTTTGCCCACTTAAAACTTTAGTCAGGCTCATACTGAGACCCTGAGGAAGTTGCTCACTAGTGCCCCTTATGGCAGCGGAGGAAGTTGACGCATAATACTTTAATTTGTCTCCATTATTTTCAGTGCTCATCACTCAACTAATGTAGCTGAAATTGCATGTAGTAAGAAACTGCATGATCAGAGAAACTGATACCAGAATAAGTTTTGGTGGTAAATAAAATTGTCTAAATAAGGTGTGAGTTTTAGTCTCATTCCCCCCATTTTTTTTCTCTCTAAGATCGTTCATTCCTCTTTTGGGTATCTTTGAAGGGACCTGTGGTGGCTTGCATTATTTTTCCCAGTTCTTCACTGGAGTGTATTTTCCTACCCTGTTGGTATTAAGTTTATCCATATGACTTGCTTTGGCTTACGGCATGTGGATAAGCCATGGTGTGTCAGTCCTGAAGCAAGGCCTTAAGAGACATTGTGTGTTTCCTCTCACCCTCTCATGCTTCTGCCCTGGGCAACTACTGTTCAAAGGAGGATGAGAGGTGTGTGGAGCAGACCTAGATCCAACCCACAATTTGGGGCCAAGGCCAGCTGGGCCCAACCCAGGCCAGCCAACCCCCACCCGCTCTGCAGACCTGAATAAATGATTATTGTTTTAAACCACTGAGTTTTAGGGTGATTGTTAACCAATTTCTACAATTGCCAGGAAAATGAACTGAAGTGTTTTTCCATGACTCAGATTCACATTTATAGACACTAAACCTGAATAAACAAATTCTATATAAAATTATATAGTTGGAAGACATTCATATCTCACCTTTACAATTTGTCACACCTAAATATATATTTTCTATGGGCTGGCCGAGTGGCTCAGTTGGTTAAGAGCTTGCTTAAGAGCATGAGCTCTGAGCAACAGGATTGTATATATATAATTTCTCACTATTATTAATATAATTTTTACTTTGACAATTTCAAATTAATCATTTAGATAAACATTTCCACCTATCTAAGTCCCAGCAGTAATATTCATGAAATCAAAAGTTTCAAAAGTTTGAGTTGTTGGTATATTTTTATATTTATGTCTGTATATCTGTAGCTATATCTACATCTATATACATATATATATATATATATATGCACATAGACTGTGGCAGTGCTCATTCTATATGCATATTCATCAAATCTCAAAACTTCATTTGTTATTTTCCTGGGCACATAAAAAGATGATATTTCCAAGCTAGGTGGGGCCATGTGACTGAATTCTGGCCAAGAATGGTTAAATCAAGAATGGTCAGAATCAACGGTGCTGGTTTACTCATTACTCAGGTACTGGTTCCTGAAATCTGTACTAACTCTCTCTCTCTTTCCTTATCTAGGGGCTGGATGCAATGAATATGGTTTAGGACTCCAGGGCCTTTGAGAATGGCAGCCAGTAGAAGAAAAGAACCTTGATTTTTAAACCACCTAGTAGATGAGAGGTTTCCTCTCTCCCTCCCCCCACCACACCATCAATGCTTACTGTATTAAATTACTGAGAATTCAGGAGGTATTTGTTTTAGTATTTACCTGTCAATAAAAATGTACAATCCTTAAACTTAGAGCACATCCACACATCTCTTACCTAAGCTTATCTCTATACCACTTGTGATCTATGTGCCACACTTTGGAAATACAGCTATGTCCAAATCCCCATTTTATAGTCAAAGAAACTGAGGCCCAGAAAAGGTACCACCAAGTGTTCACAGTGAGTCAGAGCAGGAGCTGGGGCTAGAATCCAAGATGCCAAAGTCCCAGACAGGTCATGCTCCAGGAATGCCGTCCGTGTATTTAGTCTCCTCAGAATTACGTAATAGTTTGTAACCGACACTGCCAATGTCCCATATTGCCCTGGGACCACTGATGGATGGCAAGGACTTCCCCCACTTTGATCACCTGTGACTATGCTTGAGGCCACAGGAGTGTATCCTACCTGCACACAGGGATGGATGCCCTGGGAACTGTGCTCCACCAATGCACACACAGGAGTTGGTGGGTAAATACCCTGATTTCCTCCCTTCAGTGCCTGTTCTACAGTCTCCCAGCTGGTCTTTAGGGTAACTGAGGCCCCATTGCCCACAGTGATAACCCGCTCATTGCCACCTCCTCTCTTGTTTCCTTGTCTCTCACTCTCACTGCCCCCTCCCCTACGTGACAGGCAGAGAGCTTGAGAGAAGGCCTCTCGGAGGAGGTGACCTTTGAACAGAGGCTTGAAATTGAGGAGGGACATAACAGAAGAGAGTTTCATGCAAAAGATTTACCGCTTAAAACAGTTCTGGAGATGGGAAAGGACTTGGCATGCCCAAGGCATAGAAATGAGGCCTGTATGGCTGCAGCAAGGGGATGAATGGTGGAGAGACTCTTAAAGAGCTGGGCATGGGTCAGATCCACAAAAGAGGTTTGATTTTAGCCCAAGAAAGGTGGAAAGCCGGAAAAAGTTATTAAGCAGAGGAGCCATTTAATCTGATTTGTGTTTCTGGAGTTTCATAACAGACCTTTTCAAAAAATGCAGGAACCAAGTCCTTGGCTTTTTTGGGGAGGAGGCAGGACAGGTACCCAACAAGGTCCACTTGTGAGCTCCCTGTGAGGGGCAGCGAGGCCTGGTGGTGTCCAGTTGTCCACGCACAGAGACCAGCCACCCCCCCATTTTCACCATGGTCTGTCTGTTCTTCCAGTTAGAGCTGGTGGAGGTAGCCCTGGATAGGTGAAGGTACCCCCACTTCTTTCTAAACTGACACCTTGGGCCCTATTCTGTCTCAAAGCCCTTAAACTGCCAGCTACCTCATATCAAATCCAAAGTGGAGTTAATTCAACTGGGAAGAAAATATGAGCCACGATTAAAAAGGCAATTCCCCCACACTTTGCCCCACACAAAATAAATATCTTTTTGCACCACACCCTGTTAAAATTATTAAAGGAGGCTCTAGCAATATTTCCATGCCCAGGGGAAGAATTCTGTTACAAAGGTAGACAAAATGGGCTCTTGAAACTCCAACAAGGGATCCTGGAAATGGCGGGGGAAACTGTGAACTGTGGATGTAGAATAATTGACAATAAGTGGTCCAGACAAGCCCAACAGCTCAGCCTTCTGAGGGGAGTCTCTGTCACCCCATTCCCTTCAAAGGTGGGGGATTCTGTTGTGAAAGCAATTAGGTTGTTTGAGACTTGGAACTAAGACGTCTCAAAATTAAAATAAAACTATGGAAATCCAAAACCAATCAGTACTCAAAAGACTGATTAAGTCTGTCTTTGAACGTATAGATGCTTGAGCAATATTATTTGAGTTATTATATTCATGAGGATTCTGAGAAGTCTTATGGTGTTATTAAAGTTTTATGTGAAACGATTTTGCAAAGCTGTTTTTGGTGTGAGCCAATGTGACAAGCACTTGGATAAACACTGTTTTTCCTCTGAGAGGCACATTTATTGTAGTTTCAAAATGGATTTAAAGAGTGGAGTCAGAAAGTGTTTTAAAAGGCCAGCTTATCCTTGCAGGTTTTGCATTTCTTAGTCTGAAGCTCCCAGCCCCCACCCCTACTCTGAAGTTTAAAAAGATGGTTTGACAGTACGAATTACTTTCTTTGTTTTCCATTTAACGGAGCTTGAGGTTTTTATAGGTGTATAAACTATTTTTATAACTAAACCTCTACAAGTTGTGGCATTGAGAGAAATAGTCAATGGCTATAAAATGTATGATAAATTACTGCTAATAAAAATCCAAGTACTGACCATTTTAACAATTAAATAATTGCTTTTCCATATAGTTAACTTAATTCTATTTTAATCCATAAAGGCACATTTATTAAAAGAGATAGTTACTGCAAGTGCATTGAGACAGTTGAAAATGCAAAAAGACTTCCAGTATATAAACAAGATACAAATGTTTGATTCATGGGTATTAACATGAGTGTTTGCATATAAATTGACACGTATGTATATGAATCTTCATGGGATTGCTGAAGGAGAGATTTTACTTCATTTTTATTTATCTTAACTTTAGAGAAAGAGTTCAAGTTGTCACGTTATCAACGTACTAACCATCTCTGTGCTCCAATTTTCCTCCTAAAATGAGGATGATAATAGTAGTTACTTGAAGGGTTGTTGCAGGTAAGAATCTAGATCAGTGACTGGCGTTCCATACATGTTACATATGTTCCCCAACCCATAGTACCCAGTATTGAGCATGTAGCTAATGCTTAGCAATTGCTTCTTAATTAGTATTCTGATAAGAGAGATATTTCTAGAATTTGAATAATAAGACATGCTACTTTTGGTAGCATGTGAGTAACATGTTAGGAATTCTTATGAGAACTGGATGTTATATTTATTTCTTTTTAAATAGATTGATAATGTTTAAAGATGTATACTATTACAAGTAGCTATGGCATGGAAAATCCAAAATGAATCCAATTAACTGCCACTATCCACCTGGTTATTCAAATTTCTCCTTACCTTCACCCTTCACAGTCTACCCATCAGCAAACTTTACTGACTCCCTACCTCCAAAATACATCTGAAATTCACCAACTTCTCAACCCCAGCACCAGCTCCTCAACCAGAACTCCATCAGCTCTCATCATGGCCCCTCCAACAGTCTTGACCTCTTTACCACTCCTTTCCTTTTTCAATCCCTTTCTTCCATAGTAGTAAGAATGATTTTTTTTTAGAATACATTAGCTATTATTTCTCATTCTTTTTAAAAACTACTTTATTAAGGTATGATTGGCATACAAAAAGCTATACATTTTATGTATACAACTTAAAGAGTTTGGAGATAAGTATACATTTGTGAATGCATCACCACAACCTATGTCATAAATATATTCATGATCTCCAAAAGTTTTCTCTTACCCTCTTTATTTATTATTATTATTTTTTTGTAATAAGAACATTTACAAGATTTATCCTCTCAGCAATTTTTCAATTTTACAATACAGTATTATTAATGATAGGCACTAGATTGTATAGTTGATCTCTGGGATTTATTCATGGAATGATCTTTTAAACAGCAAATGAGATCATGTCATTCCAATCTTAAAACATATCTTGGGTTGTGCATTGTGTTAGAATAAAATGCAGATTCTTTGCCATGGCCCATAAGACTCTACAAGATCTGGTTTTTGCCTGTTTGCTCACCTCATCTTGGGCCGTTCTCTCACTGACTCCCTAAGCACCAGGTTCATTGTTTTCCTGACAACTCCTGGAATATATCCATTCTTTTTTGTCTGAGGGCCTTTGCATAAAAATTCTGTTGTGTGTTTCACCCTCATGCTCCTCCGTTCCCCAAGGCCTAGCTGCCTTTTGTCCTTCAAGATTTTAGTTGGAATATCACCTCCTCAGAAAGGTCTTTCCTGAACATCCTGTATAAAATTGGTCCCTTCTCTTAGGCTTGTTTTCACCACAGGTCTGTATCTCTTTCATTTATTTTATTTTACTGTAAGTGCATTACTTGTTTATTTACTTGTCTTTTGTCTGTTTCTCCAGCTAGACTCTATGATCCATGAGCTCAGTGGGCATGTGTGTCTTGTTCTATCAGAGCATGCCCAATGTCTAGCACAGTGCCACATACACGGTGGGCAGTCAGTAACATTTACTGAATGAAAGATGGAAGTGTGGCCATGCCCAGTTATATTTTGCTATGAAATGCACATGAAAATAGTACTCATTTTGCTTTTTATCTTTTGACAGGATAACAAGAATTTGTTTCCCAACACTTTTAGGTATTTCTTGCCACTTTTATGCCTTTATTTGTTCATTTCCTTTAGCATGGCATATATGCTGCCCCTCTACCACCTGCTGTAGATGAAGTCCCATCTCAAAGACTACCTCTTCCATGAACTTTCCTCTGGTTTTCCCAAATGGATATGCTCTTTATTGAACTTCCTTACTTTTCTCTTGTGTCTTCCTAAAGTCTGTCACCTTGCTGACTGTTATGTGAAAGTGGACTACAAACTTTCTCAGAGCCTGTTCAGTCTTTCATCCTTGAGGAACCTAGAAGCATGCTTTATAGATAACCTTACCCTCTGTAAAAGTCACCCAATTAATTTATGATGAAAAACTGAAAAAATGTGTTAATTACCCAAATGTTTCCAAATGTCCAGATGTTTAGCTTCATTTAGGAAAAAAGAAAACTGAATGACTGTCTTCCTTTTCATTTTTGTGGTTTAGAATTGTTTAAACACAATCCCATGGTTTGTTTCTTATCAGCTTAACTGTGTTCTCTCCCTTGCTCAAACAGTACATATTTGCCTCCATCTAATGCTTCCTCTTTAAAAAGTTTTTAAAATTTAGTGATTCCTCTTTTAAAAAAGACTGAGAAACATTAAGCATATTAATATTGAATAATAAATACCATCAGGTGGAATTTGTTTTGTTCATTTTGTAGGAAGAGCCAAGGCAGACCCACTCAAAGAACTGGCATTCTCTCTATGCCGGGATCAAAGGGCAGGTGACCTAGATTCCAGCCTGATGTTTGTAACATAATGTGTTTGCCACTCTGCCTCCGAATTCCAGAGAAGGTCACAGTGAAATGAGTGAGGTTGGTGGTGATGGCATTCTATTAACTTAAGAGGCTTAGAGAAGTAATATGGCTCTCATTTTAGAAGTTAACCACTATCCTATTTTTATTTTGACCTTGTACATAAATACCCTATAACCTGGCTACACAAAATGGGGGCTGTGAACTTTCTGGGGTGATGGCAATGATCTGTGGCTTGACAGAGTTCTGGATTACCCAGGTGCATACATTGGCTAGAACTCATGGAATCAAGCAGTTAACACCTATGTATTTCCCCCTCAAATATCATACAACAATTAAAAAAAATGACTCATGGGTACCGATAAAGTAAAATAGTACAGAATTGGATAAAAAAATTAACAATAAAAAAAATATGCAGGCAATTATCACATGATGTAGTCTCTGGCCAGCAGCATCCTCCAGAATCATCTGAGAGCTTGTTTAGCATGAAGACCCTCAGGCCTCACCAGGGACCTGCTGCATCAGGACCCCTGAGCAAGGTCCTCCTGGCGATTTGTGTTCATATTAAAGTTTGAGAAGCCCTGTCCTAAAAAAGAAAAAAAAATAGGGGCCACAGTTATCTACATGCTGAGGTCCCTCTTAACTGTGCTGCACTGTTCATCTGTTATTTTGGTTGAAATGTAGCCATTTCCTCGCTAGCCCCACTTTGCAGTATCTCTCCTTCTGTCTCTACCTCACAGCTTCCTGGACTTGTGACTGACGTTGGAAGCTGTCATTCAGGTTCAATTTTGTTCACAGCTATGCACTGGCCTTGTTGAATGAGCCTAGTGAAACCACTTAACTTCTGTGCTCTTCTGTTTATCCTTCTTTACAAAAGACATAATGGCACTGGGTTACCCAGAGCTTAAATTAATTAATGTTTATAGAGCACTTCAAGCCTTGGGGATAATTATCATTATGGCTAATGAAGCTTGCTGCTAGTCCCTCGCCCTCACTGAAAGGCAGGGAGCTGCTCTGGGTAACACTATCCAGAGAAGGTGGAAATTTAAGTACCATTTTTTTCTTTGGTCACTCTATTGATGTTTTTGGGTTCTTTTATTTTTATTTTTACTTTTTTATAAAATGGATGTAGATGAATTAAGTCAAGTGAGTTTATGGTAAAATAAGCAAAGCATGTTCCAAATGCAGTGCTTTTTCTCTAGCCTCAGATAGCACACTTCCACTATTTCTTGGTTGGGAAGTGAGATCCAAATTAGCCTCAGAGAGAAAGAGAGAGGGGGGAGAGAGAGAGAGAGAGAGAGAGAGAGAGAGAGAGAGAGGCGTTACTAGAAGCAACTTAGAGTTTATAGTGCTGGTTCTCATGATGCTGAGGTTTATTATTTAGTCTTGGGATTGACCAACTTCCAGAAACATATTCTATTTAGTGCTAATGGCAGTAGAGAAGACATCCTCAATAGATTCTCTGCTCTGGAAACACTACAGTTTAAAGGAAAAGGTGCATCTCTAAGTGGTAAACTCAACAAACTCAACAACTGACAGCGTTCAAAGGGAGACCCCTTTACGTAACATAGTTTATGTTGCAAGTGACATTCAGCACTGACAATTTTAAGTTACTCTTTATTCGTTTCTATGGTTTATGTCTCATATTGTCACTGTTAGCTTGTTCTTGAAGGTCATGAAGGAAACAGACGCAGGAAGTCAGTGAAGTAGCCACAGTGCCTTTGGGAATTTATTTTAAAATGATCTGTTATTTGAGTTTGAGAAAATCAACTCATGTTTATGTGTACTAGGATAAACTTGCTACTTTATCTATTTGAAATCATTTCGAAGAGAGAGACATTTTAGTTTGAAAAGCTCTTTTAAGGATA